TGGGCGGTGGCTGCTGCTTCCGCGAGCCTCCTTTGGCCGGCCAGGACCCGGCCCTGCCCTCACCCTGGTCCTCGCCCACCTCTCTCCCAGCTCTTTTCCCTCGCTTTCCCCCTCCTCATCCGGAGCTCCAAAATGGCGGCGCTGGGGACAGATCACGTGAGCCGCGAGCAGGTCAGGTGACCCGAGTGGCGGGCGGTGGGGGCGGGCCCAGGCCTAGGGCTCCGCCCACGGGCATCCCGGACAGCTGGTGCTGGGCGGGCGCGAAGGTACCTGCAGGTTCCCTGCAATCCTGGTTCTCGGGTGAGGTTCAAGACGCGCAGTCCCGCACTCCTGGCCCCTGCCTTGTCGTGTCCGTGGTCGCCTGGGTGTAGACCTCAGGGTGCGTTTGCCCTGGAGGCAGCCCATGTCGCCTGAAGGTGCCATTGCCATGGGCTAACTTTATCACTCCACCCACCCTACAACAGGCTTTGACGTTCCCTTAAGCCCTTATACTTCTGAATTTGGGTTCTTTCTTTTGATGGAGCTGTTCTTGGCTAAAATGCAGAGTTCCTAGCGAGGTTCATGGCTGTACTTCAGGTAGGCGTGGTGAAGGCAGAACTGGCCCTGGGGACCAGTTATACTTGCTTGGGACACTGAGGATTTTCAGCGGTTGTGTGGCCAGACTTGGCAGCTGACCCAGTAACACAACCAGGAACACAACCTTAGTCATGTGAAGGCAAGATGGTGTTTGGCTTTTGTCTCTCTTTCCTATAGTACGCATCAGGGTATAAGCAGCTCCGTTTTAGTTCCCCTGCTAATAGCGTGATGTTCAAGGTGAGCGAAGCATTCCACCGACTTCACCAAGAATACTGGAGAGTGTTGGCTGTTAGGAACTGCACAGTGGGGTTCTTGGGTCTGGACTCAGCAGGTGGGCCATAGATGGGAGGAAGGGAGTAAATCTGAAGATTCTGGTCTTAATAGTGGATTAGGCTTATTTGATGAGATAGTTCTTGGGATACTTAGAGGCCTTTACAGCAAGATGGGCTTTCAATTGGTAAGTGATTCAGCCAGGTGGGTAATTTCTTTGACTGTGTCACTGGATACAAATTCACCTGAATTTAGGCATGGAGAAAACAGCAAAGTAAGACTCCTATTCCATAGAATGCTTTGCAAAATAGACCAAATATCTAAGAAAAAGTAAAAATAAAGGATTGACTTTTTTTTTTTTCAATGAAAGTAATACATTAAAGGGACCAGCAGTTAGCGTAAGGGCTATGTCACTGGACTCCCATGTAGTCGACCGCCGTTCGCGTCCAGGCCCCGGGGGCTTAAAGCTTACAAATTCACCTGAATTTAGGCATGGAGAAAACAGCAAAGTAAGACTCCTATTCCATAGAATGCTTTGCAAAATAGACCAAATATCTAAGAAAAAGTAAAAATAAAGGATTGAATTTTTTTTTTCAATGAAAGTAATACATTAAGGGGACCAGCAGTTAGCGTAAGGGCTATGTCACTGGACTCCCATGTAGTCGACCGCCGTTCGCGTCCAGGACCCGGTGGCTTAAAGCTCACGCTGGGCGCGTGTGCGTGTGTGCCCAAGATCCCGAGAGGAGAATGGAGAAGAAGGGATTGCGGCGTGACTATCCCTCCTGGGGGGTGATTTCTCACTGTCTCTCTCTGTCTGGCGAGCGCACGTGCCCTATAGTGAAAAAAAAAAAGTAAGACATTGAGCAGGAGACTGATTTGGTAGGGTGGAACGGGGAAAGAAAACAAATAGGGCTCAAGAACAAAGTAAGATCAAACAGCTAACCTGAAAACTTTCTTTTCTTTTTCTTTTTCTTGGGCTATTAGCACAAACAATTCTATCAATGGTTTATGACTATCTAAAGAAAGGCTTCCTTTAGTATGTTTTAACTATAGTGTCCATAATCTGAATGTAGAATTATTTGATCAGGGGAGAGTACAAAAACTAAATAAAGAATATATAATCTAGGGAAAATAAGGGATTCTAAAACCAGTGAAAGGAGATAAGTGTATTTTTGATTGAAGTTCTTATGTTTGTCATTACTGGTATTTGCCAGCTATTTCTATTATCCCTTTTCTGGAGCAAGGTTAAATAAAACTCCTTGGCTCTCTGTGGCTCAGAGATGTGGCCTGTGCCTGGTGGTGGCTAATGAAGTGTGTGTTGAAGTAAGAGGTAATACTTCCATAATAGGGCATTTAATTGTCAGTGCATTCCCCTCCAGAGTATTCTTTTCCCTCTGACTTGATGACTGGCAGCGTTTGAAGTGCCATATATTTAAAAAAATATATTTAAAAATGTATTTTTTAATTAAAAAATACTTTATTATTGTTATTCTTTCATTTCACCAGAGAGAGAGAGAGTGAGAAAGCAAAGCACCAGGTCCAGGACTCAAACTGTAGTTAGGCATGTGGGAGTCCAGCACCTTAACCACTGCACCATCTGCTGGCCCGCTTCTTTTGCATCTTAGAGTGACAGTGATGAGCTGAGCCCACAGCTAACCCAAGGTAGATACGTAGGGTGAGCATGTCACTGAGGTCTCGGGGCTGTTTGTTACTGTGGCACGGCATAGCTGCTGCTGACACTGCTCCCTACATTGGAGTAACTGGAGGAGTGAGAGTGAATAGGAACACATTACAAGTAAAAAGGAATATTAGTGAACACATTAGTAGAACAAATTAGAACCCTCATTCCTAAAGACAGAGAAGGTATAAGATGTGGAATCTGATAGAAAACCTTAGACAACTTCAAAAAGCCAGTGACACAAAAACCTCAGTAATTTCTCTTTCCCATGAAAGGGAACACATTACAAGTAAAAAGGAATATTAGTGAACACATTAGTAGAACAAATTAGAACCCTCATTCCTAAAGACAGAGAAGGTATAAGATGTGGAATCTGATAGAAAACCTTAGACAACTTCAAAAAGCCAGTGACACAAAACCTCAGTAATTTCTCTTT